GGCCAGTCAGAGGTATTTGTGGCAGTGGGAGCTCAAGAGGCGCTTCAGCCAAGTTGCCTAGAAGACAGTGGGTCAGGAGAACCAGTATTCCAGCTGTTGGAACATCTCCAGAAAATTTCTTGCTGAGTATGGAGAGTGTTTGTTCTCAGGATGTTCCAGGATCCGGCAGTGTGCGTCTGCAGTGGGAGCCGGTAGGGACCGAGGACGAGTCAGGGGCAGATTTTGCCGTGACTAATGTGTTGGAGCTTGGGAGAGCTTCAACGGGCCTTTCAGTTGTCTGATGATAGGGCCGCTGCAACAGGAGAGCTGAGGAAGATTACTCGATGTACAGGCGATCGTGGCGGATGGCAGTTGATGTTTATCAAGCCTCCAAGTGGGAGAATGTTGGGCTTTGTGGAGGCTTGTTTGTCGGTCCAGCCCAGTTGTGCGTAGCCCTAGTTTTTTTTCCCCCTATATATATAGGGCTTGTACTTGTAATCTGTACCACAAGTAAAATAAGAAATTCCTCCTGTTGCAGCCGTGGATTAGGGAAACCGAACCACGTTAAATTCTTGTGTGTCGTTTGTGTTCCGTTTCTCTCTTGATTCTCGCAGATATTTGTGTGTGTTGTGTGTTTAATTCCCTACAATGTGATGCACCAATATCTTAAAGGTTTACTCTATCAAAATGCTAGTTCAAAAAAAAATCTGTACTGAAATTTTGTGTCAATGTAAACCATTAATCTAATGTTCTACTAGTATAAAATGTTAATGCATGCTTTTAGGGTTCAAAATGGGATAAACTTTTTGGGGTACAAATAGCTTAATTCAAAATATATACATACGGAAGTGCATCTAGAATACAAATTAAGAGAATATATATTTTGGGAGCAGAATGAGATATTAAATTGATATTGAGCCTGAGGCCCAACAAAGTCCCTCCTCCACATAAACTTTAAGGGGCTGTTTGGCAACTTCTGAATGGGTAAGTGCTGAACCAATAAGAGGTCTGAATCATTAAGTGCTGAACCAGTAAGAGGTCTGAACCATTAAGAGCTAGTATATTGCTTAACTATTCAGAGGCAAATGTCTGATCAATTCAGATAACAGCTCTTAACCATTCAGACTCTATATAATACTTAACCATTCAGAGGCAAATCTCTTAACCATTCAGACATCTGAACCATTAAGAGGCTGAAACAAACAGTCTGAACCATTAAGTGCTGAATCATTCAGACATCTGAACCATTAAGAGGCTGAAACAAACAGCCCCTAAATCTTCGTTTACTGTCATGTAATACTCGATCTTTTTAATGTAGAGAATTTGGACTTTTTTTGTTAGAATATGAAATTCTTTGATTATAAACAAACAAATACTTTCTTTTCAGTTTGACTTTTCTTCATTTTTAATTTTTGGCTTTGATTTCAAATTTTACCCTCCTTAAAAAAGATTTTTGAATTTTTTTTGCAATCATTCAAAATATAGAGTTAGGAGATAATTGGTGTAAATACATGAGGGTATTAATGTCATTTGTCATCTTTTTTTCTAATGGAAAGGTAGTTTTAAGACGAAAAAATGGGAAGTGTGAAGAAAGTTTTAGGACGGAGGGAGTAAATACTATAAAAATGTGAAATATCCAAAGGACTCGGTGAGAGAGGGGTGGGGTAAGAGAGGGGGTATTAGAGCAAAGGCAATGACTAAGAGGATCAACAATGGCAAGGCGAAAATGTAATGCCACGTGTAGACATGGAACATTTTAACCAATCAAAAATAGTCTAGTCAGCGTGTGACAAGTAAATGGAGTGGCAATTCCTACAATGGCAAGTCATTAATTTTTATCACTTTTTTACATTTTTTATGTTTTTTAAACATAAAAAATATTTTTATTATTTATTTTATTAAAAAATTATTCTACTTTCTTGTACTTTTTTTCATAAAAAATTTAAAAAAAATTATTTTTAAAAAAAGAAAAAAAGTATTCCGTAGTATGAAGTGCCACACTCATGCCTCACCAAACAAGGCATTTTGGCCCTGCCATGCTATGATATAAGTGGAAGTAGCTGATGTGGCAGTTCAAGGCACCCTCTTCTTTGCCATTGCACATGCTCTAAGCATTGCCTCCCACGCCATGCCACTTCACCCCCTTTTTCTCCTAATGGTTTGAGAGTCATGAGCAAGGCACTCCTTTCCCAATTTCTTTTTTTTAGAATTTGTATTTTTTTTTTGTACAATAGAGAGGAATTTTTATAAGAAGTACATCTATTTTTATAAAGAAAAGATAAATAAAAATATTTTTTATAATTAAAATATATAAAAAAAAGTATAAAAAGTGAGAAAACATTGACTCTTCATTGCATAAAATGTCATTCTTGTCACTTGCCACACGCTGATTGAACTATTTTTAATTGGTTGAAGAGTTCTATGTGATAGATTTTTTTTTTTTGCATTGCGATCGTACATGAGCATTTCTCGTCCAAACTCCAAACCCATTGGTTAGGTTTTGGGTGGGTAGGATACCCAGAATTGCCCACCCTCTGTCATCTACTTCCCTCGCCCAATTTATATGTGGACCATTTTTGTCCTGTGTCTGAGAAGGAAGCCGCCTTTCACAAACCCCAAAGTAAATAAAATAAAAAAAAATAATCCTGTATTTATTAACTCCATTTCTTTATTTTTCTCTTCTCTCCCGTCGCCTTAAAAGTATAAAACACTTTAAAAATCTTCATCTTCGTTTTTAATATTCCAATCGAAACTCAATAATGGCGTTACTACCTTCAGAACCAAATGCCAAAACAACCTCAGCTAAAACCATCTCGTCTTTCTTGCACAGCGACGAAGACGAAGACGACGAAAGCTTCGAGTTCAAGATTGACGAAGACGGAGAAATCTGCGTTTTTTCCGCCGACAAGTATTTCAACGGAGCGCTGGAGCCGCCGCCCCTGCGCCGAGAACACTACCCTTGGAGTTTTCGCAACCGTGGGTCCCCTCCACCTCCTCTTCCTAGTCATCATCACCATTCGCCGATGAAGAAGCCACCGGGAAGCCGGCCGAGAACTCCAAGTGTCCGGTCCGAGTCAAGCTGGAACAGCAGAACCCACCTCCTGCCGCCCAAAACTCCGGAAACCCGTCCTCTTCCGCCGGCGGATAGCTCCGGGAAACTCCGCCGGAAGAGTTTCTTGTCCGCCATTTCCTGCAATCATTGCTTCTGCAATGGCGGGAGCTCTGTCGAAATTGATGAGAGTAAAAACAGAGAAGCCAACCCCAATCCCAATCCCAAGCATTTGCAGATCAAGAATTCCCCTGTTTTTAGTTCCCCGAAATCCGGCACGAGAATGGCCGCCGACTGGGGTGACATCTTCGAAGAAGATGGTGACGCCGAGTACGACGAAGTGGGAAGCGAAGCCAGCTCGGACCTATTCGAGATCGAGAGCTTCCAGGGCGGGAACCCGAACCCGTTCGACCGGCCCATCGGGGTCCCGGCGAGGACTTCATCGCACGCTCCGAGCGAAGCCAGCGTCGAGTGGAGCGTGGCGACGGCCAGTGCCGCCGATTTCTCGGTGGCGTCGGATTCCGAGGAGCCGAAAATGGCGACGTCTTCTTCCTCGTCATCACCGTCGCGGGGGCGTAGTAGAAAGGGAAAAACGAAAAACTCGCCGAAGCGGATTGTGCCTGGGATTCTAATTCCTACGGGGTGTAGGAGTGAGAAGGCGGTGGGAGTTGCCGGAGATGCGTACAGAAGAACTGTAACCGGCGGTCGTCGGAAGAACCAAAGTTCGGAGTCCCCTTTTCTGCCGCCATTGAACAGGGTACGAGGCGGCGGCGGCGGTTTTGGTGTCGGATCCTTCTCTGCCGCCATCTCAACTCATAGCCAACCCCATATGCTCTTCATTTAGTCAATCTTGGATTTACAAGTAGAACTTTGACATGATTTTAGAACTTAGACCAAATGTTCTATAAAAAAACTTTTCCAGTGTTTACAATCGAGTTAAAAAAAATTAATTTTATGTACACTTAATAAGTTAATATTGATTGTACCATAAGCACCTGTTTATTGTTTCAATTCCACTGTTTTTGTTTTTTGCTTTTTTGAGGGGTTAAATTTAGATATTTTATTTGTCTTTCTTACTTTTCTTTTATGGAGTAAGAGTTAAAGAAAGTTGTGAGTGTGTTAATATTTGATACAATTTGATAGTAATGCTCCTAATAAATAATAAGAATTACCTCAATATATAAAAAATTAATAAAGAATTCTAATCAAAGCACTATAAAAATTATTGAATAAATAAAATATACTTCGTAGAAAGTAAATAATGAAGCATAATATTCTATTCTCTCCGTTCATAAATCATTTATTCTTTACGTAAAATGAAGTAAAATTTTAAGTTTTTTGATTCATTCTATTTAAAGATTAATATATAAATAAAAAATAAAATTTACATATTTAAAAAATACATCAAAAGTTTTACAAAACAAAGGTGACAAAAATATTTTATTTCATCAAAGAGTCAATGAAAATACAAAAATAAATAAAAGTTCCTTCAATTTTTGAATAGTATAGTATGTAAATCATTTAGGAACGAAGGGAGTAATTCTTATTGTTCCTAATATTCTCCACAAGTTGATCATCAATAACGAGAAACAGTTTGAATCACAAGTAATAGAATGGAACCGACGAAAGTAGTTTTGAGATAGCTGCTAGAAGTAGAAATGTGGCAGGACGTGGGGTGAAATACTTCTGTAATGGCTCGCTCCACGCCTGCACATGCTGATCTGGCAGGGCGTGGCAATGTTTTTTGGATCGCCGTTGCTGGTGTTCTAAATTTATTGACTCTTCATGGTTTTATTTAAAAATGAATAAGCAATGGGCATTGGGCCTAATATGAGCATTGGGTTAACTTAAGTATTCATGGCTCCATCCTCGAGATTAGTAATGAGATTAATGTTCGAGTTTGCTTTTTAGCAATTGCGCTGGAAGGTAATAATATTAGACATATGGGATTGATATTTGTTTTACTTTTACTTTTCGTATGAACAATAAATTTCCTCATGTTTCCTTTTTTGGAATATCTTTTATCCTAAAAAATGTTACTATCCCTATTAACTACTACCCTATCATCATTCATCACCCACTTTTAGCCTTTTAGGTCTATAATTTTACTTTTTTTTATTTGTTTTTCCGTAGTAATCTATCACATCTCCACTATTAATCAAAATTTTCTACTTCATTCACTTTCTCTAAATGCCCAATAGCAAACAACGAAATTAAAGTCAAAACAATTTTTACTTGTAAAATATGCGTGCAAAGTCAATAAGAAAACTAAATGTTAGATGTAATGTTAGGCCATGAGGGGGTCACACTGTCTTGCACCCCTCACATCGCCGAATTAATGTGGGGACGACACCACACCACTTTAGACTACTATGATCAAAATTGTGTCGCCTAAGACTTTTCTTGCAATTTAGCTCTCTTGCTGGTTTCCTGAGAGTCACAATTTTCACATCAAAATGTAGCCGATCATGCATATATGGTAGGTATATATATAGACATCCCTGACCATAACAGGTTTTTGACATGCAATGTGGTGGGTGCCCTACAACAAGTCGAGACTTTTGAGTGTTAGAGATACAAGGGTGCCCTACTATGTTATACTCCCTCCGTCCCAAAAAGAATGGGACGGTTTGACTTTTTGGGAAATTAAGGAAGGGATATTTTGGTATTGATTTTTCAAAAATACTCTTGATGTGATGGGTAGATTATTAGAAAAAATGTATGATGTGATAGGTAGGGTATGAAAAAGTAAGGGGTAAAAGTGATTTTTTAATAGAAATGTAACGGACTTTACGGGACGCAGTTTTTTCTAAACGTAACAAACTTTTTGGGACGGATGGAGTATATTTTAGTCCCTGCGGGATCCAAGGGGCAGAGCCCCTGGCTGGGGAGTTCGAAACTTTTTTATTTTGGACAAAGTACTATATAAAAAATCATTTGAATTTTTAATTTTCGAATTTCCTTAAAGAAATTTTTTTGAAAAAGGATAAGCACAGTTTTCTCAAAATCAAGCAAAGGGACACGCGTTTTGGACGAGAGACACGACCGCATCCTTCTTCCCTTCCGCGGCCCTATAAATTCCGCTGATCCTTGATCGCCAAAACATAGTTTGGAAATCCACATCAATCTATGCTTGTTCTTGAAAAATTTGAGTTTTTTCTGATTGATTTTTGGATTGAACAGCCAAAATAATCAATCTGAGAGTGCCACACAACTCTCAAATTGATCCACGTTATCTTCGTTTATCCCCAACATACTATACATTAAACGGGACTATGAAAACCGAATCGGTCCTAACTAGTTGGGCCACTACGTCCCAACTCTAACGTTTTTTCGTCTCTCAATTATATTATACTGTACTATATGTTTTCATTGACTCTTCTAGGATATATTGAAATAGCTCCAACGTATTAGCGTGACCTTGTATTAAAAATTAAAATTGATCCCACAAAGGTTGCGTTTTGTATTAATTTTCTCTTGTAGCATGAATTTTGGCCCACACATGTAGTGTACGGGTACTCAATGTATAAGTATTTATAGTTCCAACTAATCCATAAAGATGGATTGATCACATCCATATAATTAAGTTACATCATGATATTTATATACTTGAATACATATATTGCCAATATACTTTCTCCGTCATGTAATTAAATATTCTCCCTCCATCTCAATAAAAGATTTTACCTTAGGCTTGGCAAAATAATTAAAATTACATGGTTACGTTTAGAAGGGTGCAGAAAAGAGAAAGTTTATAGCGCTCGCAATTTTTTTTAAAGTGAAAAGTAGAACCTTTTTTTGGGATAGCAAAAAAAAAGAAATGTGGAACTTTTTTGTGAGACTGATGAGATAAATTTTAGAGCAAGGATCTTTTGATACTCCGATTCCTTCGTCCCAAAAAGATTATCGTAGGGACATGTATCCGTAAGAATGGACCTTGGTGAAAGAAACAAAAATGATGCAATTTTTCATTCGCTATGGTGCATGTTACAAGCAAGTAGTTCACCATGCTGCATTTTACAAAGCAAGTAGTGCATTTTACAAAATTCGATTTAATTACAAAAATACCACCGCATTTTTCCTCACTTTTTTCTTATTTTTTAAATATTTTTATGGTCCTTAGATCTCATACTCCAACGCACCACATGCATATGACGTGAGTTGGAGTTAGGACTAAGTGGGGGTCTACTGAGGGAGTTAAGAGGTAAAAACTAGCAGTTTTACACTTTTACGAAAGCACCATAAGTATCTCAATTGAGTCGATGTCCTGTGCAGCTATTCTAAAGGAGTGGCTGCAGAATCGTGCGGATTTTTTTCTTTGACATAAAGTATCTATGAATGTCTTGTTTAAGTGTCTAGGGGAGAACCAACTATAGTTGAAGGCAAAATTAGTATCAACTTGACAATATGCTCATCGGCTTCTAGCTTGTTGGATTTTAAGTTTGCCCAAAAGATTGGGAGACAAATAATACTACTAACTTTTATAAGTATGGGCAACACATTGTCACATTGGCAGCAATCAAAAACAGAAAAGTAGCTTGTTAACATTCTTAAGAGTAGTTTCATACTCCGTAATTCATGGAACCCAAAGAATATTCAGCAGTAGCCGAACTAGCTGCAATAAACAATTCAAGGCAGGGAAAATTTAAAATAAATCGTTTATAATTAAAAAAAACTCACATCTATAAACCTCACGCACACTTGAAGAGCAACATATCATACAACAATATACGAGTATTATATTTGAACACCAAAGTTCCCATGACATTAGAGTCCAATGTCATGGGATGACCCGGGGCGCTCCGGTGCTCCGTTCGTAAAATTGACGGATTTTGACTTCAAAGTCAAAATCAACTTGTGGGGTGCAATTGACGGGGGTAGGGGATGTGTTCGGGTCGGGGAGGGGTGGGGGGTT